CTTTAGGGGGAGAAGAGACTTTTATGTGGGATCCTGTCGAAGTCACCCTCAAGGGACTAATTGTGATTCTGATAGCTAAGGATTTTCTACGGACCTCGTTAGTCAGAATTAAGCCCATCTGACAGTTGAGTGCCATGTTGAAGGGCATTTTTTCCCATTTAATCTGAGTTTTTGTATCATCTGGTGTCGATCCAAGTTTCAAGGATTTTGTTTCGTTTATTTTGGATGGTCTGCTGAAGGGAGTTCTGTTGGTGTTGTCTGCATTGTGCACCAGATATTCCTTGGCGGGCAGGGTACCTCAGTTTATTGAGGTGACCGGCTTTGGGTATAACACCTACCCACTGCTTTGACAATTAGGATACCTCTCTTCTTTGTCTGAGACAACCCCTAAGGATTCAATCCTAATTGCTGCATCACAGGACCAAAGTCATAGCTGACTTATCCTTCTTTAGGAACCTTTTAGCATTTTGGAGTGTGTTAGCGACCTTGTGGGAATAATGCTCTTCTTCATCAGACTTGTATTGCCTCTTCGGTGAGTTTTCTGTCATTTGAGTCCTTTTTGTGAATGGACTCAGGTTATCGGAATCCTTTCCTTGAAGCTCGTATTTTTAGAGTCCTGATATTGTGACACCAGGGATCTTTTCTCTTTTGAGTGGGGGCTAAAGCCGCCTGTTGAGGCTAGTGCTGCATCAACTTGTTTATTGGTCCAAGCACCCTTTGTGGGTTTTCACTTGAACTTGGGAAGCGGCATCGTAGAGATGGTTTTCACCGTCTTCCTTTTATTTGGGGTCTTTTAACCCATGACCTTTCGGCCATGTCCATCCTTATTTTTTCATATTTACTCATGGTGCCCTTTCGGGGTTTTCACCATGCCCGGGTTTTTATTTACGGAACTCTCTTACTCATGGTTTCATGACCATCCCCGTCCGTCAGTTTTACTCATGGCGTTCCCTTGTCAAGTATACACAATTTAATTTTTGTTTTTAGGCTAGACGATAAGGGTTACGAAATAAGGTTTAGATCTAATCAGGTCGCCATTGGTGAACATTCTCAAGCATTGTTGTATGATACTAAAGTTGACAATTTGTACCAATTGAACATTAATAGATATTCATCTTGTTATATCGATGCTTCTTGTGATTCTTATGTGAGTGAGGATGATTCATAGTTATGATACTTAAGATTATGACATAAGTAAAAATAAAATAAACAAAATAGTTAAAAGAGACTTGCTCCCCAACTTGGGAAAAATTGTACTCAAAACATGCGAGCTTGTATTTCTGGTAAATTAAATAAGAAGCATTTTCTTAAATGAAAAAGTCTACTAAATTACGTAGCATTATTCACTTTGATACATGTGGCTCATTAAATGCATAGAGGTATGAAATATTTTATAAAATTTATAGATGATGATTCTCATTATGGATATGTATACTTAATTAGTAGAAAGCCACATGCATTAAAAACATTTAAAGAATATAAAGCTGAGGTAGAAAACCACCTAGGGAGACATATTAAAATTCTTAGAACAAATAGAGGAGGTGAATATTACTCCGACTTATTTACCGAATTTTGTAAGGAGCATAGTATAATTCACTAAATCATCATGCCATATACACCACAACAAAATGATGTCCTTGAAATAATAAATAGAACTCTAATAGACATTGTTAGGCTTATGATGAGCAGTTTAGATTTATCGCCTCATTTTTGGGGTGAGGGTCTCAACACTGCAATGCATATTATTAATTGTGTTCCAATTAAATCCATAGACTTGACCCCCTATGAATTATGGATTGGTAGGAAACCTAACATTACTATCTTGAAAGTTTGGGGTTCTTGAGTACATGTTCTTATGCCGCCACAAAATAAAGAAACTACAAAGTAAAACTATCAAATGCTCTTTTATAGGTTAATCAAAAAACTCTAATGGCTATAGATTTTATAACCATGATACACTCGTGATGCTCATTTCCTAAAAAATATATATGATGAACGCATTTTAAGTAAGCTTATTAACTTACACGAAACCGATAAAGATAACGGTCTCGAAAACCCAATTTCTCAGTCTTCCTTTATAATTAGTAAGAATCATTCAATTGAACCTTGTCTACCAAATTAGCCCCACCTACCACTATAAACGAAATTTACGTATCTATGAATGAAGACAATTATTTTTCCATGAGTGAGGATACAATAGATGAACCTCAAAGCTAAACGGAAGCTCTACTAACTCACATGAGTGGACTCAAGCTATAGATGACAAACTTGATTCTATTTAAAGGAACCAAGGTTTGGTTGATCTCCCTAAAGATAGAAAATTCATTAGTTGCAAATGGGTCCTAAAAAAACAAATGCAAATGAATAAATACAAAGCTAGGTTGGTAGCTAAATGATTTACCCAAACGAAGGGTATATATTATGTAGAGACTTATTCTCCAGTAGCAAAATTTTGATCGATTAGGATCATCCTAACAATAATTGTATATTTTGATCTAGAATTATTTCAAATGAATGTTAAAACAACTTTCTTAAATGAAAAATTAAAACAAGATATATACATGAAACGACCTAAAGGATATATAATTAAAAGCCAAGAAACCAGTATACAAACTTAAGAAATCTTTGTATGGTCCAAAACATTCTTTTAGGCAACGATACTTCACCTTTCATAATGCAATTACTGAAATTTGTTATGCAGCCAATAGATTAAACCGTTGTATATATGTTTGAAATAATGGGTGCACTTTTATTATTTTTTCATTATATGTAGATGATATTTTACTAGTTGATAATAATATTGACATAATTAACCATACTAAATCACGGCTAAGTTCCTACTTTAAGATGAAAGATATGAGAGAAGCATCATATGTACTAGACATTAAGATAACCAAATATAAAAGTTCGAGGCTCCTATTTTTATATCAAGAAAATTATTTAGAAATTATTTTAAAAAGATTTAAAATGAAAAATTGTAAGCCCATAGATACACTCGTTTGTAAAAGATTAAAATTGTCAGATAAAATGTGTCCATCAAATGACAATGATAAAGCTAAAATGGAAAGAGTTCCATATAAATTATGTTATGTTGTGTACAAGACTTGATTTGAGTCATGCATATAATCTCGTGAGTAGAATTTAAAATAATAATGAGATGATTCATTAGCAAGCCGTAAAAAAAATACTATGGTGCATTCATAAAACTAAAAACTACAAATTGTACTACTAAGCTAATAATTTTGAAGTTACTTGGTACTCTGATGCAAACTTTGCAATAGACCAAGATGATAGAAAACCAACCGTTAGACTTGTATTCCTCTTTGGAGGTGGATGTGTTTTTTGGTCCAGAAAGAAAAAAAGTTGTATAACTCAATATACTATGGAAGCGAAAGCCAAATATATTGTTTGTAGCATTGCTACAACTTATGCCACCTAGATTAAAACACTTCATAAATTATGTGAAACAAGATATAGTCAGACCAGTTAAAATTGTGTTAATCAACTGCCATCTCATCAATTAAAAATGGAGCCGATAGTTCTAAAGGTAAACACATTGAAATTTATTATCATTATATTTATGATATTAATAAAAAAAATGAAATAATTGTGAGTTATTTGCCATCATTTTTTTAAGTAGTTATTTACCATCATTAGATATAATTACAGACCCTTTGGCAAATGAATTAAGTGCAGAAATCTTTTCGAAATATATACCTTTGATGGGACTTAAAAACATCTAACTAAGAAACTCCCAAAAATGATACTTTTCTTCGATGTTTTGGCCATAAGAAAAAAAGCCACATTAGCATTAGAAACTTCATGACGTGATTTTGGACGTTGTGTAGTGAAATACATAACCACACTAACATGAAAAACTTCATAACAAAGATATACTTATAAAAGTTAAACCCACTAAGTGGTACAGATTTTATGATATATTGATATATTTATCCCTTATGACCAAATACGAGATGATACATGTGTAACCATGGAACCACACATGTGCCACATTTTTTTAATCTAATTAATATTTTTCTTAAAAATATTATGTATTAATTAGTATATATCTTTACAAGGATTTTAGAAAGAAAAAATCATTTTTTCAACACAGGACAACTCCCCATCTCGCAGGTATTAAAAGCCACTTCTCAAAGATTACAAGAAAAAAAGTCAAACGTCACACCCCTCTATAAGTTCAGATTTCTTGACCATAAAAAAATACATATAAAATAATAAATAAATAAATAATTCTCAATTATTCTTTAAGATTTACAATCCAACAATGCTTCCTTTTAATACCTAAGATTTTTTACAGATTCATCTCCTCTCCTTTGAAGTTAAACAAAAACATGCTTCATGCACACTAATAATAATAATAATAATAGATATCTCATAATCACAAATCTTCCTCTCTCAACATTGAAATACCCCTCTCGTGCAGAACTTGGCCCCCACCCAAGCCAAATAACTCAAGCAAGTCCAACTGGATCAGGCCTGAGTAACATATATACATAAAAATGCCTTAAAATGTAGAGATAAATAAAATAAAATAAAAAATAAAAAAATAAAAAATAAAAAGAAAAAGATAAAAGAAGAAAAAGGTACACACACAAAAATGCCTTTAAAAAAGTGGAAAAAAAAAAACGAGATAAAAGGAAAAAAGGGATATAGAGAGAGAGAATATGAAAAGGGAGGTAGAGTTCTGCCCCTTCTAGAGGAAAAAAAGAGATGAGAGAAGGGGGACGAATTTCTGCCCAGAGATGCAAAAGGGGGACAAACTTGCCCCTCTTTTATAGAGAGCAAAAAGAATGAGAAAGGGAATAAACAATCAGCTCCCCCTCATTTTTCTACATTTCAGTAATAGTACACAGGCAAGCACCTCAGGGGCCCGCCTGAGTACTGCAGCACTCGGGCAAAATTCACCCTATGGTTGTCCATCAAAAATTGAAAACTTAGCCATCTAACAATTTTGCAATTTTGACACCAACAAAAGGACATAGAACCGGGTCTATGTTATGACACTAAAAAGCAAATAGACATTAAGAAATGCCCACACTTGTTCATGAGAATGCAAGATAATGGGCATTAGAAGCCCAATATTTTACTGCACAGGACTCGCGCCATCCTATCCAAGACTTTCCAAGTGCAGGTCAACAAGCACTAAGAGCCCCATTCCGTTTTTGCTTCATAAAGAAAGAAGCAAAGTGAAGTTTGAGACCATTTTCTTATTCCTAGCACCGAAACATAGGCTCCAATCATCATTATTAGATACAATACAACACGGAAATCAAACAAACCTCATCATTTTCAAAGGGACCGAAGAATGATATCAAAAATCAGGGACTCTTATTTAACAATGATGATGATCGGAAACCAATTCATTCTTTATTGGTTACCACTGTTGATCAGATTGCGTATAACGAAGGGAAGGATACCACCATGATTGAAGTAAGCCAACTCCACCTGCCACCCATACAGAAAAACAGAGTCATCGACATTATCCTGGGCAATCATAATTAAGTGAAGAATGAAAATGACCCACTTTTCTATGATACCATTTAATTTGTAATATAGTAATCCATATTTCAATAAAAAGAAAAACCAAAAAGAGAAGTGCCCAGTTTAAATGACAGTGGAGGATGATGAGTGGTATAGCCAATGCACCTAGTAAACATACATCAGCTGCTATCAGAAAACATTCAAACCTAATAATCAGATAGTTCATTGGAGCTAAGAAACTTGAGAGTTTATTGACAAAAACATAACCTGAAGGGTCACCGGTTCCTGCTTTGGAGTATCACAAGATATGCATCAGTCACTTCAACCATAGGTTTTGTTACTCATTGATGATGCCAAAAGCTGAATTTTGATGCAAACTACTTTTTTCTCTATGAGAGAGTGCCCTCAATTCACTCGAGATACCAACTCTCAACCACCAAGGCCAAAGCAAAATCACAACTTGAAATCAATGGATAACAGAAGGCATTTTCTTTTTGTTTTTTTGTAGAATTTGTGTCTCTGGGTTGGTGGGTGGGTTGTTTACTCTTTTTTCTTTGTTCTTTTTTTTCCGGGCCGGGGGTGTGTTGCGTCGGGGGAGTTGAGAGGGAACTAAAACCTGCCTAATAAACTGTCATGCGGTTTCCCTTTTTCTTTTGCTTTTGTTTTAACGTTTTACTTTTTCATGCACACATTGCAGTGATTGCACAAACCCACTATAGAAATCAACCTGATTCATGGACATTTGTAGTTAACAGTTCTAATTTTGGCAAATGCATAAATTCATCATCATCATCATCATCATAGCCTTTCCCAATTAATTGGGGTCGCTGGCAAACGCATAAATTATTAACTATTATTTATGTCTCCATGATGAACCAAGGGAATCCTGAAAATTTTAACCTCAATCAACACTGGTAAAAAAGGGTCACAATCTTCTGCTTTTCAGTAAAAATAATTCAGGATAGCCACTTCATTTACCATATCATCCTGAAACCAAATAATTGAAACCATTCCTTTCCAAAAATATGTTGCAGCCACTAGCAAGAAAATTGGGAAATCTTATCAACTTACAAGGAACTATGATATTTGCAAGTCTAATGCTCTAATAGACAAAGATGACAAGGAAACTATACCTCAGTATCAAATCGAGCTGTACAGGTGAAAGATTTGCCACTGTCAGTAACAACACTAATGTCTTGTCCAGGCCTTATCTCGCTAATGTTGCTTGGCAAGTTGATGGTGTACCGCTCGTGACCTGTTAATCCCAATGTATCAGCATCTTCTCCGGCTTTGAAGCACAATGGAATAATACCCATCCCCACTAGATTGCTTCGATGGATGCGCTCAAAGCTCTTGGCAATCACAGCCTTGACACCCTGATTTGCCCATAACAAACATCACAAAGTTTAATCAGTCAGGAGATAGAAAAGAACAAACTACAGATAAGGGACAGCTCACAAACCAGTAGCATAGGTCCCTTGGCAGCCCAATCACGAGAACTTCCACTACCATATTCAGCTCCAGCCAGGACAATGGTGTCGTGCCCATCCTCCTTGTATCTCTGAAAATCACATCACAACATCAATCAGGCTAAGCTTTTATGCCCATTAGTATTTTGTGAATTCATTTTCCCTTATCCATGCTGCTGCTGCTGTAGCTGTGCCTGCCATTTCATGTATGAATGACAGACAAAGGGAAGCCTAACTGACCTGCCTGTGTGGTTACTACTTTTGTTAAAAGAAGAAATAAGACGGCATACTATCCAGTATTTACTAGTTCAACAAAACGTTTTCATTAAAAGAACATATGGGAACCAAGACATTAAAATATTTGTAGACATCTTTTTCTTTTAGTAGATACAATATCCATGTGAATGGTTGTGTTGCCGCGGTCAATTTTAAAAAATGCCAATAGTAATTTGACCTTTGTTCAAATAATATCCAGTATCAATATCTCGTTGCTTCGGGAAAGTATTCATAAATTTGTAGTATTTAAGTTATAACTAAAAAATATTTTTGGGGGGCAAAATGAGAGACTGGACAATGCAGGCACAGGAACTGATTTTCTTTTAGATAATTAAAGAACAGACTAAATCGGCCAAAGGAAACTCACCATGGCTGCATCAAACACATAGAGTTCCTCTCCTGTTGGAACATGGATCGTCTTGGGGCCAACCTCCCCCTTCAAGAGCTTGTTGACAAGGCGTATATTGGCAAATGTACCCCTCGCCATGACCTCATCATTGCCTCGGCGGCTTCCGTATGAGTTGAAGTCCTTGCGCTCCACCCCTCTCTCAAGCAAGTACCTAGCAGCAGGGCTGTCCTTGTGAATGCTACCAGCGGGAGAAATGTGGTCAGTTGTGATGCTGTCACCGAAGTTGAGCAAACAGTAGGCATTTTTCACACTGTGAGGGCCTGGGGGTGACATTGTCATTCCCATGAAATATGGAGGTTCATGGATGTAGGTTGACTTGGGATCCCATGAATAGAGGGTGCTTGTTGGCACCGATAGCTGGTTCCACATAGGATTGCCCGTTGTGATAGCCTCATATGTGCTCTTAAACATGTCTGGCAGAACGCTTGATTGCACAACCTGAATTCACAAACAATTCTCATACTATCTAATCCTAAGATACTAGAAATTTAATAAAAAATACAAAAATAACATGTACATAATCACGTACTAGTGAGGGAACACACTAGAAAATAAAAATGGAGATTTGTTCCAAAATGTGTATAAAGCAATGAATACTTTGCAATGGCTACCTCTGCTACTTCGTCCTTTGATGGCCAGATATCCTTAAAGTAAACATCATTCCCATCCTTTCCAGTCCCAATAGGTTCAGCCTCAAAATCGATGTCAACCTGCACATATTTATTTCCATGGTAATTGCTCAGCCCTTGCGCAGCAACTGCAAGTGTGAGTAATCTAAAGTTGAATAAAAGTAATACATTAGAGGCACTGTGGAATCATTATGCAAATGCTGTCTAACAGAAAATGATCAGCGATACCCCAAGCCCAAATAGCCAGCAGAAATAGGGGAAGGACATTAAGAAACCACAAAATTTGCATAAGGTAAATTATAATTAAATCTAAAAGGCCATTCAAGTTTCCGCATTAAGTAACAATATGAAGGTACACTCAGTGGCTCCGGTTTCTGGATGCGGTCATTGTGGAATGCGAATCAAATGAGACTTGACCTAGTACTGCCAATATATGTCCTGGATAAATTTTGCAGCACTAAAAAATATTAAAATTAATAGTAGCTGTTTCTAGTTATCTTTCTCCATTGAAAGCATCCGACCACAGAGACAAGCATCTTGTGGTCAACTTTTAGGAAGTGACGTGCAGGGGTATTGTTGTAAATTTTCCTTCAATGTAATGTGAAAGGGTATGTAAGAGGGGTATTCATGTAATTTATACCCCGAGTAGTAACAAATACACGCCCGCATGCATGTACGCAAGCACACACAGACACGCATCAAATAAAGCTTGAGTTCCCTGCAGAACCATGCGTCAAATGAATCAAGGCATCAGAGGTCAAAATAGGCCAGCCTAAAATGTTTTAATTATGGGGATACTGCAAGAGTATAGTGTATGCTTGGTTTCCTCCATCTTCCCCATAATCCACCTCGTGAGAGACTGAGGAACTGGTTCCTAATCTCCTAAATTGATAATGGGTTGAGCATAGAGTTTCCCTCTCTCCCTCTCTCCCTCTCTCTTCTTATCTATTTCCTTTCTCTCTCTACATTCTCTCTCCTATTCCATCTTCAAAAGAAATTTTCTCTCAGATTGACCTGGTGCTCTCTCTCTAACCCCTCTATCCATGACCCTTGATCAAGTTCTTGAACTTTAAGGGCCAACCTATCCTCAAAAGAAACTCCATTTCTGACCTTCAAAAACTCGTTTGTTGCTTTTCCTCTCTTCTTTCTCGCTTGTCCTTTCAAAACACGCATCTCTCTCTTTCTATGTTGCTTCATTAACTCGCTTCCACTTCAATAATAGAAAATTTTGAATTAAAAAGTATGGCGAAATTCTGAGTGATATTAACGATAAGGAAAAGAAAGATTCATTACGAGCAAATTTTTCTATATTTGAATTTCAATACTTGCATGACATAATTTTGTAACTCTGGATAGCGTTTCTGATTTCAAGCTAATTTCTTGATGGTTATGTAGTTTCTTTGTCTTTTTGGGCAGTTGGTTAATGCAATTGTTTTGCTTGTAGAACTCTCTCTCTTTCTCTCAACATTACTAGGCTGTTTCTAGGCTATTTCTATGAGCTATTTTCCATTTAATATGATCTCTACGGTCATCATAACCATGATGAGGTTGCTAAACTGTTTTAAATGGTGACCAAGGGGAAGTAGGGATGTAAAGTTTAATTAGTTGAATAAATGACAAAAATCATTCCCCTTCATCACTGTCTAACCCATTGATCAAACGGAGATGAACTACACTCATATAATGTTTTTTCTTCTATAATCTTGCAGTCATGCACTATACTTATATAGGTTTTTTTATTCTATTACTACGGTGTTGAGTTGTACTCGTATAATTGTTTTTTGTCTAAATCTTGGTCAATACTGAATACGCTAAGACCTTCCAGCTATATTGGTTTGAATTATTGAATCTTTCTCAATATCTTTATTAGAACACAGTTTCAGTAATCCATTTTCCATAATTCATAGGATATCATAACTCCATGACTATGAAATTAACATTGTATACAACCCTATCTAGGAGCATTTGAAAAAATAAAATGTTATGCACACTATGTGTGTGGAAGAAATAACATCCGAAGACTGAAAGAGACTAACATTGACATATAACCAAAAAAGAAAAGAAAAATAAGACTAAGGTGCTTTCAACTTATGTTGCAATAAAATAAATGTTAGCCACCAATATGGTATTTTGTGGGTCACGTGGCTCCAACTCGAAAGGCCTTTTTCCACCATCTATCCTAATTTCTCATCACTGTCACATAAGGTCCAACATTCTCAAAAAGAAATGTAGGGCTTGTTTGTGAAGCTCATATGATGCTAACCCACAAATGATCGCTATCCGTGACGTAAGGCCCAACTTAACAATACATGCCAATTAAAGCAGAGTCCAACATACCTAAGTTTAAGCTCTTTTTCTCTACACAGGCATGAATCCACAAGCCCAATCAGCTAATCCTAGAGCTTCAAGGCTTGCACACAAGGAGATCACACCAAACATTGTTACCTTAGTAGGTCTCTCCATCTCATAATAAAGTGCAAGGCCCTCTTGGCTGTATCCTGCTTGTGCTAGCCTACGAAACATTATGTTCCTTGAATCACATTCCTTGATGTCATCTTCTTGAACAAATCTCTAGCTACTTCCAACCTTTCCATGCTTCTGATACTAGGAAATCATTGGGTTAAAGCAAACTATACTTCTCGGAGAAACTTCAGCAAACATTTTGTGTGCCAGGTCTGGGCTACTGATGCAGCTGTGGCCACCAGCAACCAATAACCAGCAGTAAAACCACGTCTAGAGAGAAAATCGATTGGGAAGAAAAAAGCATAAAAAGGCACAATCAAGGAGAATTGAGACATCCACCACATTACCACCAAGAGAAACACAAAGAGAAGAAGCCCTCTCTCTCTCTCTCTCTACTAAATTAAAGTTTTCTTTCACTCACCAAGTAAAAGCCACCTTTTACAACAGATGTCCACCCCTTTTATAAGGGTTCTCTTTCTTTTCTTTTTTTTAAAAAAAAGGGACCTATTCCATGTTCTCTTATCCAAACGATAAGAGTGGCCTTTTCAACCCATAGAAATTTTTTTAATAAAAGATAACTCAAAAAAAAAAAAAAGAGCTTTCTTTTCCTTTTCTAGCGATAAGCCTACTAAAAAAAAAAGATTATTATTATTGACTCTTACCTTGTTTTCCTTTTTTTTAAATAACTTCAAAAAATAAATATTTCCTAGAAAGAAAAAAATAATAAAAAATATGATAATTTCTCATGAATGCTTCTTATTCCGGTCCCAATATGATCGCTCCAAATAATCCAGCGCAATCATTTCAAGTGAATCAGCTATCGCATTTGACAGCCATGAACATTAGTGAGTTGCAGGCAAACGAAACTATCTACATGCCATGCTTCCTTTGAGCGAATGGACCTGTCATACCAAAACCCAAGCCCTGTAATCTTCCACAAATTAAGAGAACCATAGTCAAAGTTGCTTAGGACCCACTGTACACACTCTCAAACAAAGGTAAGGATTCATTAAGTACCCATTAATCATGCAGTCCATAAACAACCTCTGGTTGATTAGTTTCCTCAGAATCTTGGCATGCAGAGCTTATCAATCCTCCATGCGTGTTAAGTTCGATCAAGGAGCTCGTAACAAACTGGTTTGTTTCAAACCCACTTTTTATCACAGGAAAATTGAATTCCCATATTTTAGCTTTGGATTTGAAGTGCATCCCTTGATCATGAGTGTGAGCATGTAGCTATCAGGGGAGAATCCAGAATTTAGCAATTATTTGTAGAGAGAAAGAATGGGCACTGAGGGACCATGGGCTTGAAGATTTGATCATGGTGTTGTAGGTGAAGAGAGAGGGGACTTGGTAAGACATAAGAGATAATGGCCTTGATTTGGTTCATACAATGCATAGAATTGTCTCAGTCTAGAGAGAAAATAGAGGAGAGAGAGAGGTGAGAGTCGACACTCAAACGCTAGAAAGAGAAAGGTAAAGTATTTCTTGTCGAAGATCAACGATGTAGGATTTTGGAATGGAGAAAATGGAAAGAGAAGACGAGCTAGGGCTGACTCTTAAGATATCCATTGGAAGAAGTTTCAGGAAATCACTGGCGAAGGTTGGGCTTAATGGAGCTTGTAGGTCAGATCCTAATATTCTAGAGGCTAAAGAGAGAGAGTGTGGTTATCCACAGGCCGGGGCGGGGGGGGTGGGGGTGGGGTTGGGGGGCGAAACTGGCGTCCAAGTGGGTTATTTGTGTTTTGTGCTTTTGACTTTTGAGAATAGAGAATATATTATGAAACAAGGGAATAAGTCGTGCCTTCAATCAAAAAGGTGGAAAAGACTTGCTGCCCCAAGTTGAGTTACCCTTTCCTACAACCTTTATTTCTTACATGATATCAGAGCAGGAGAAAGATATAGGTAACCCTAATTCTGTCTCTTTTCTGCTTCTCATATTTGCCTATTTCTTTCTTTACTTCCTTTTGTCAAACTTCGTTTAATCATCTTCCCTAAACCCTAATTCCATCACTTCTCATCTCAAATCTGATTACCTACTTACTTTTCTCAATCTTCCATATATTCCCTTCCATAAATTCTTTCACACAAGCACGCACTCAAACGGGCATGCACACACGCACGCACGCACTCACACACTCTTGTAATAACTCTTTTTTAGTACAGGAATGAAAGTGTCTTTTATTTTTGTTGCGAAGTATGGACTAACGTTTATTCATGTTTGCCATCCTATGGTAACATTTTTGGCAAGGGCAAGCCAATACTTCCCCTTTTCCCTTTAACTTCAGATCCTATCTATACCTTAGACCTTGAGGACAAACTGATTACATGGATGGAACTTTTTATCTCACATTCTAGAACATCCTGAATTTTGGGATGGAGGTCTTAACCATGTTCATGTTCGATTAGAGTCCAAAGCAGAAACTTTCGGATATAAATGGCAGCTACCTTTCCACATTGGACTCCCTAGACATTCGTGAGGCTGGACTATGCCCCATCGTTTCCACAACTATAAATGGGCGGTTTATTTCAGCTATAAATATCTCCGACCGCTCCTCTACTGTAGTGAAACCTTCTTGGAACATTGGTGTGAAGAGACTAACTCGACATTCTTTGATGAAGGGGAGGGTGGTATATCCCTCCTGGATGCTCAGCACAATGGTGTTTCCCCCCATGTTTGGCGAATATTATGATGAATTCACTCCTTCAAACGAGGAAATTTTGGGAAGGATGACTGTCGATAGTATAGAATGCCCTGATGGCTTTTCCTTTTTTTTGAAAGTGTTTAACCGTTAATAAGAGAATGAAAGAGTACAAGAGACCTTGGCAATCCACAGTGAGGATGGATGCTCAAGGGAGGAGAAGGTCAAAAGTGGAAACAAAATCCTCTTTTAAGAGCTTACAGTGAGACAGGGAAACCTAGAAAAACTGATCAGTCCACTGTAATGGGTCCAAAATATGAGAGTAAAAACTAAAAAGGCCAAAAAGGTCTAGTGGTCTGCCATTGCTGCTGCTTCTTTGGCAAGGGAGTCAGCTGCTTGGTTTCCTTCCTCCATTTATGCATCCACGCGATGGACATATTCCTACAAAGGTGTTCAATTTCGTCAAACAAATGATTCAGATGCCAAGGGGGGTGGGAGGAAGGAAGATTCTGCACCCTAAGAGATGGTGTTCTTTGAATTTCCCTCGACGAGGAGGGAATGTAGGTGGAAGGGTTGGATCAGAGTGCCGTCACTTCGGCCTCCATGGACTCAGCGTGGCCAATGTGTTTGGAGACTGTTGCCACAGTCGCGCCGAGGTGGTCTCTGAGGATGGCTCCAATGCCTGAAGGACCAGGGTTACTGAGAGAACAGCCGTCAAAGTTGAGCTTAAGCTTCCCCTCAGGTGGAGGTTTCCATCTTGAATACCTTGATGGCTTTACATTCTAGCTTTGCACATTGGCTTGCCCATTTCTTTTGGATCAAACAAAGGATGGGATTATAATTACAGCAACCTGAGGAGAGGACCTACCATGACGTTTTGGTGTTTCATGAGCCCAAGAGAGGTGGGCAAGTAACCTTAGTCACATTCTTCCCCCTTTTCCTCTATAAGTTCACCCTCTTGAGTCCAAGAGGGTTGTTAATAAGGCCAAAGCACCTTCTATTGCTTGTAAAATGGCAAATGGAAAAAACTGGTGTTGGCTCAGCCGATGCTGCCAAGCATTTACCATGCCTTGAGTGCAATTGCCAAGGATCATGGTCTAGTCCTTAGGACAAGAACGTCGAAGAGTACAGAGGAATTGGTGACTTCAACGAAGGTTTTCCTGCCCATTATGTTGGGGTTGGATGACGGCATATTGCCCTACAACGTACAACACTAATCGTGAAAATAAAGCCGACATCAAGTTCTCTTGTTTAAGGTATGACAGGCTGTACTGCTGTTCGGTTCACAAAGGATGATGTGTTGTGTTTTGTAGCCATTTAAAGGCCATTGCCTCTTGGTTGTTTCATGTACCCTGGTTCCCAATTTTGGTGAGAATACTAGCCTGTGTAATTTAGAGTGGTATGTGACATGTCATGATGAGAGGGCTCAATCAACAACTCCATGAGATTTAAAGGGGCCTGCCAAAGTGCATAGTGCACTATGGAACTCCAGGCATAGTTTTGCAATCTAGGGTTGAGGATTGTGGAGTTGGATCCGCACCACAGTATTGGTGTGAGTTTTGGCCCCAAGAATCATCTGCCAGAGCCGGTACACTCATACCCCATTGAGGCAGGTTGTGTCCAGCAGTGGTTAAAGTTTATCAGCCAAAGGATGTACAAGCAACCACAGTGTGAAAAATGGGCTTTGCAAGGAAAAGGGCCTCAACCACGACACTAGAATTCTTCATGCATACATGCATGACTTATGCATTGACCGGTTATTGATCAGAATTCTAGATTTTGAATGTGTCTGTATATGCTGAAGAAAGACCCTTTACCACCAATATTGGTACCTGAGATTGATAGGCAATAGCCATTGTCGGAATCAATAGGATGGATATGACTTGTCCTTGAAGGGCAGTAGGGCACACGTACGATCTTAGGTGAGCATGCAACCCTATCTACCTCTTGGCTGGCTTCAATGGGCCAACCATGAGCCCCTTGCATGAGAGTACTTGTGGGTCACAGGTTCATTAGATTAGTTTGAAGGTAGGTAGTGATTATGAGTGTATCTACGGCTATCTAGTGGAAAAGGATTTTTCTTCCGAAGGCATGCTCAATTCTCCAATGCGATCTTTCACATCTTTTCTTTCAGGTTTTTCAAAGAAAGAAGAACATTCTCAGTCACCTCAATCTTGGTGTTTTTAATTTTTAAATACGCAAAGGACTTTTCTGAAAATAGAAATTGGTTTCTCAGAAAGAACTTTTCTGGAAATTTAAATTTTTTTATTAAGTTTTGGTGTTTAGCAAATAAGTGGGCAATCTAGCAATAATTTGACAGATGTGGGCCACACTGGGACCACACATGTGGAACACGTAGGGCCCACTCTGGTCGATGGCATGTGGCAACTCAAGCCCTAGATGGCTAGATGCATGGATGCAAGTCGAACCCCCATGGTAGACAACTCTAAATTCAAATAAGAAACCAAATTTAAATAAAATAATTCCACTAGAAATAGAAAAGATTAATAGAGTCCATCTATCTTTGGATTATATCATACTTTCCCTTTCATAATATCATAAACTCGTAGTATAGAAGTACTCCAGCATTAAACATACCAACCAACTGAAAATTTCGAAGTTAACTTGGAGGAAATCAAGAAGCAGATGTCCAAAGAATATAAGATCCAATCTTGTATGCATCTCTACATCCGGATCATTAGATTTGGGGAGCAGACCCACGAATTCCAGCTCAATTTTTCAGAAAGAAAAGTAATAAAGAAAGATTGGAGTTCCAAACATTTGAGGAAGAGGTTCTTCCTCAGATGAAGTTCATTACCTCATTTAAACAATCAGTTCATTTTAAATTTTTGCGTTCGTGTTGTCATACTACTTTGAATTTCCAGAAGCAAGTGACGGCTTGTTCAAGCAAAGATTCTTAGTTTTATTTTTCATCGTTTGACCCAAAGGATGTGAACATACCGTCCCAGCAAGAGCATAAGCAACAACAAGAGGAGGTGAAGCAAGATAATTCGCTCGAGTCAAAGGATGTACTCGCCCTTCAAAATTCCTATTACCAGAAAGCACGGCTGAAGCAACGAGGTCTGCAAATGCAAAGCAGATTTGTCAAGATTTCCGAAATTGAGTTTGATTTTTTGAGGCATTGGATGACAATATTACCATTGTCTGCAATCGCCGAAGCAACAGACTCATCAAGTTCTCCAGAATTTCCTATACATGTAGTGCAGCCATAGCCAACAATATGGAAGCCTTGCTGGTCTAGGTACTTCTGCAATCCACTACATAGACCAAATGGAAATGACAATTCAGAGGGTATAAGCATCAAAACTTGGTTCCTTCAATTTATGCTGATGTTGTCTGATAACCAACATAATATTTTTTTACCTCTGGAGCAAATATTTAGTCACGACTCCAGAGCCTGGTGCAAGGCTTGTCTTAATCCATGGTTTGACCTGAAATAAAATCAATTTCCATCCTCATTTATTAGTTACGACTCCAAGTATGAGAGTTGACCCAACCCCAGGTCCACAACATACACCAGAAATCTTGTTGGGTTACAAAAAAAAATTTACAAAGGAAATTTTGAGAAATGGAAAAAGTCCCATTTGAAAAACAGAATCTAACCTCGAGACCCAACTCACAGGCCTTTTTTGCAGACAGAGCAGCTCCAAGCATAACACTGGGATTCGAGGTATTTGTACAACTTGTGATAGCTGCTATTACAACACTCCCATGCTTGATCTCTGCAGGCTTCCCATGGAAAGAAAACTTTACAACCTTGTCCTGTGATTCCTTGGGTACAGCAAAGCCCTGGTGTATCGAAGTTCATGCCTTCAGTAAGAAAACATATGCCGCAGTGTATTTGATGACAGAAGGATTATCAATGCACTTCCACCAAGCAACTTGGTGCAGAAAACTTGAGATGGTAGTCGTTTCTTTTCTTTCTTTTTTTTAAGGGAATATCACAAGAGATGGTTTTTTCAAGCAGCTCAAAACCATGAATTCTCCAGTCAGAAAATCCAGGGTTCTTATGAGCCATATCCAAAACAAGTACCTGAATGTGTAATATTCTTCCATACTCCACACAGAAAAGATTTTCCTTCTCTATTTTATTAAGGAAAACGAAAAACAACACACATAGCATAATTATTATTATGCTAAGTTCAACAAATATTTGTTCACAGATTTCATTGTATCAAATAATTACTTTGCAATTGCCACTAGATCTTCATTGATATCATCTATTCTGAATAACAAAAGAAAAATCAGCAAAAGCAAAGTCAAGCATTGACAAAACACAGACGAGTGGAGCTCAAAGACAGGCCAAACAGAATACACACTGACGAATCTACTAAGAACAGCACTAAGCATTGGTCTTCATCTCACCTTGAATCCAACCTTGTTGTCCAGACAAGAATGCCAATCTGCTTTCATTTCTTTCAGAGGAACTCGATCATGCGGTCTGTCATTTCCAATGCAATACAAAAAATTGTGAGCAAAAGAGAAAAACTGAATTTCACTAGGAAGAGAAAAGCAGATCACCGTTTTGGTCCCGAAAGACATGTTTCAACATCTGCGAGATCCAACTGAAGATAGGACGAGTACACTCGCTCTGTTTGAGGCTGCACATGCACGCGAATTCAGTTTCTGGCTTATGTTAAAATACTGGCTCACAAGAATGAAATAGAAGAGAAATCTAAGGTTTACCTCCTTGTAGTCAACAAACATTTTGTTTGCTCGTAAGTATGCCTCTATCATAGACACCTATTTCATTAGTGAACAGACCAAAACTATTCAAACTATGGCAATAATATTTAATCCAAAAAACTTCTAACAGTGAAATACTCAAATCCACTTACAGTTTCATCACTTCTCCCAGTCAATTTAAGATACTGTAAAGTTACATGATCAACAGGGAAGAAGCCCATTGTTGCTCCATATTCAGGTGACATATTGGCAATAGTGGCTCTATCAGCCAATGACAATTCGCCCATTCCCTCACCTGTATGAAAACAACAGAACTTCATAACCAACCAGGGAATGTCATTCATCATAGAACAACAGAAAAAAAGTTGTATTTCTGAAATGATGTGACCCAATTGAATTAATCTTAAATAATTTTATGTTGAGAAAGCTTACCATAAAACTCAACAAACTTGCCAACAACACCATGCTTCCTCAGCATTTGGGTGACAGTCAAAACCAAATCAGTAGCTGTTACACCATCGCGCAGTCTCCCTGATAACTTAAACCCAACAACACCCGGCAGTACCATGCTCATGGGCTACAAAACATATGAAAGCATCAACAATTGAAGCATGCACATAAGGGTGGACTTATGCATGGGTGAAGCTTATGAATGAATACAAAGATGTGCATGCAGCTCAAGCCAACCACAAGGAGTATGAAAGTAACAATATTACTTTTGACAAGCGTAATTACAGCGATACTTGTCAATTATCAAACACCCAACCTTCCTCTTTTAAATAATAAAACTACTCAAAATGTTCCATTTTTAAGTCACAGATGTTAGGAAACTTTCTTCTGTATCTCTTCGGTCACTTGGCAGTACTTCATGAAGTCAAAATGGATTTTACAATAATTAATTTTCTGAGAAAACAGAATTTACAAACAGACAAATGCCATTATACCCCATGAACATCAGTACTTGGTATCTATGAACTTAATATTATATAATCAAGACTATTAATAGCATGAAATATCTCCTGTTAATGGACATAATGTAAATATCATCATGAAGTAATAAAGACCATAAAAACAAGTAACTAACTATTTATCAAGGATGAAAAGAGGAGAACAAAGGCTAACAAACCATTTAACCATATTGTCAAGCTCACATCATAATCAATTCTTTCCTGGCAATCTCTTCTAAATGTATCACTGACATCTTGTCCACAATCACCTTTGAAGTACATATGAATCTTGCTCATAGCACTGACTCAAGAAACATCAAACCAGACCCACTTAAAAGCCAGTATCAATCATAAATACCATTTTAGCTATATTTTGGTTGGTAGGTAGTTAACCTTCAGAATAAAACCAATCAACCCATGGTATTTTCGCTATACTTCGAAAACCAACATTGAATTCTCAATGCATTTGGCACCTATTTCATGCTTCAAGATGTTCAGAGAAATACATTTTCACATTTCCTTACCTGACCAAGCATTGCAGCCTCTGCTTCAATGCCTCCAACCCCCCAACCAGCTACACCTAGCCCATCAATCATAGTTGTGTGGGAATCAGTCCCAACCACACTGTCAGGATAGAGTACACCATTGGTGTTGAAGACAACCCGACCAAGGTACTCCAAGTTTACCTGAAATTTTACCAGAACATTTATGCATAATACAACATTAGACCTTGCAAATGCGTACATAACATTTTATGGATACAGATCTATATAAACACTATTTAATGTTTTCTGAAATTCAAAAGAGAATTATCTTGTCACTCCGTGTGACCAATGTAAAATGCAGATACCTGATGCACGATACCAGATCCTGGAGGGACAACAAGCATGTTATGAAAAGCATTAGAACCCCACTTGAGAAAACCAAATCTTTCCTTATTCCGCTGGAATTCCAGCTCCATATTGGCCTGCACGGCATTTTCTGATCTTGCTACATCAACCTGAACTGAATGGTCAATGACTAGATCCACAGGCACCTGCATCCACAGTGGTGGATTAATCAATTACAAGCAACAAAACAACTTCTGGGAAACAGCTAGAAGGATGGCGCAAAAGAAGAAACAGTTAGAAGGATGGCCCAAACGAAGAGAGCATTGGATTCAGTTATACATAACTAAATGAAAAAGGACAATAGCGAAACAAGGGAAATGGCTGAGATTGAGTTCTTTATCTGAGATGATATAAATCTAAATATACATGTTCAAGGACATAAAAGAGGTCCTAATTGTTTCTACTTTGATATGCTTATAAGACCCATATATTGTGGAAGTAGATGGGACATTCCAATCAATGGTAACATTCTTGATTCTTGAGTCCAATCTTCAGAAGTTATTTTGCAAAATATATAGTACAGAAAACTCTCCAGTATACTCTTGATAACGTAACTTGCTATGATTTGCGATGCTATTAATCTAGAATTTGGATGATCTGATGGAACTTGCAAATTTGAAAAGTCTGGAATTTCTAGAACACAATTCTCTCATATTATTCAATTTCATGTAATATGTACTAATCATTCCTTCTTGATAAATTATTTAAATATTTAAGCAGTAGGCAAGTGAAAAATATTACATCTTAAAACAAATATTACATTAAAAATGAAGATTGAAAAACATAAAAGTTGTTGACTTGTTCATCATCAAAAAAATACAAATAAAAAGTTGATGACTTGTGCTCTGCAAACAAAGGGTATTCTATAGAAAAACCGATGCACTGTCATCCATCACCTTATACACTAGCGTCACATTCCTCTCTGTGTCTGAACTCAGTGGAATGTTAAGCACGGGTCATCGTCTAAGGAAGAACAACACACCAGATCCAGCTTTGCCATGCAAAAGGAAATCCCCATCCCATTAAATTCGTGTGCATGCATTAAAACTGATGTTCTCTTCACATACCTAATCTTTATCTCCCCATTTCTATTCCTTTCTAGCTTCAGTATTGTCACATATGTGGAAGCGGACATCTCAGCATGCTAGATCAGATTGTAGAGTTCAGAGCAAGCTTACAGCAACAGTTACCACATGCAAAACAACAGTTTGAAGGGGTGATATCTTTAAACATGGACCTATGAAGCCCTCTCTACCTTTCTATAAAATTAACAATCCCTTAGGACCTGCTTACTCGATGAATGTGTTTCAAAAACAAATCAAGCCCAAGAGTAACCACGGCAATTCAATAGAACTAGTCATAATATTATGGAAGTGAACACATAACTTTAAGGAATGCAAGGAAGAATGCCGGGGAAGCGCCCTGGACTACAAACATAAAATTAAGAAGTTCCACGTGGAAATTCAAATTATAACGCAAAAGATGATCAGTAGTAGTCACCCGCAAAAATGATAGTACCGGAATCCTATTTTACTGAATAAATATCAATACTGTACGTAAATATGAATTCAACAATTTTCAATACATCAGTCCAGCATCACTGATGTCAATAAGCAAGCAAATTCTTATGAAATAGATAATATCATATTCGTCTTCCTCAGAATACAACATTGAGAAGAACTTGAAAAGGTAGGAATTAGCATGCTTGTCACAAACAGGATAATACTGACCAAAGGATTAATCTTGTTAGCATCACTGCGAAGATTGTTCATAGCATCCCTCATGCAAGCAAGATCAACCACAGCAGGGACACCAGTGAAATCCTGGAGAAAAGTTAATGATGGGAAATCCCAAAGGTTAAATAAAGTACACATATCCACCAAGAAAACTGCAAAGAGTCATGCAAATTATATAGTAGTGAGCAATCGTTACCTGAAGAAGAACACGAGCAGGTTTGAAAGGTATCTCAACTTGCTTTGGGGAAGTATTTTCCCAATCAATAATCTTCTCAACATCATCCTTTGTGACCTGGAAGTTGTCACAATTACGAATCGCAGACTCAAGGAGAATTCTGATTGAGTAGGGAAGCTTGTCTGCATCAGAAAAAGAGGGAGTGTATATAAAACATCTCATTCAAATCCAAATTCAAAATAACAGAATAAAAAAACCAAGTCAAACTGAACAAGCAATGTCCTATAACAAAATTCAAGGGACAGAATTTCTGATCATCAGAAAAGTGAAACCAAAGGGTGCCAAAATTAAGTTGAACACCAACATATTTAAGGTTTCAATTTGATAAAGTTGATTCAGTAAAAGCCCTAATAGATCCAACAATCTTGCACGATAGATCCAACAACCTTGCATACGATTACAAAACTCCAAGGACACATAAGTTGCCATCCCCAAGATACGACGACCCTCAAGAGAATCATAAGGAAACATGAGATATAAAAATCCATCGATCGAAATATCATAAAATCAAAAATATTTCTGAGGTAAGCTTTCAAATAAGAATTAAGGCCACATCAGAAACAATTGAGATTCTGATCAAAGAACAGCCACAAAAAAGTGATGCAATCCTGCTGATGCCATGCTAACATCATCTCAAATACTTAATTCCCCTTTTTTTTTTTTTTTTTTTTTTTTGAGAGAGAAACTTTTTATTTATTTTTTATTATGAACTTAGTTAAGGTTCATGGGTTACTATTCATGGGTATTGTTCATAGATTACTATTTTCTGGAATTTTTAATATCGTTTAGGGGTGGTGTGAAGTTTTTAAGAATTATTTGGCATTTATTAATTAATAGGGGCAGTTTGGTGCATTGTTGCTGGAACCTTGTAGGAAAGGTCACAGACCCACTCCGGAACCTCGATTCCCACAGTTCCAGCTAGGAATCTTGGATAGAACGTGGATCCAATATAGGGATCCGCATTCCCAGCAAGTTCGAACCACGATTCTCAAGTGTATGACACAGTGCATATGATTTTTTCTCTATTTGGCACTGACTCATATGCAATGATTCAGTTTTGTGCCCAATGGGACTGTGAACGCACACATCATTCTTGATCCCTTAAAACATACTATTGTGATTCCTTCCCCATGGAATCGTGCTTCCCTGTGACAAGGATCGCACTCCCTTGATATAGGATCATACGAACAACGATCCCAACCACAAGGAGCTTCCAACAATCCACGGTTCATTCTCAATGGCTTGGCCTCTTTTTATAAACCTCCAACCTTCCCTCTCAACCCAACTTCTGTCCTTTCCAAGGTCTGGTCTACCATTGCACCACCAAAAGTGCAGGCCTTCAATTGGATTGCTTGCTCTGAAATAGCACTCACTGTAGACCATCTCCAAAAGAAAGGGACACCCATTCCCAATAGGTGCGTCATGTGTCTATGTGAGGAAGAGACGAACTCTCATCTCTTCATTCATTGCAACCTCCCTCTTGGCCTCTGGAGTCAAATTATCCGGCTCTCTGGCCTCTCATGGGTTACCCCAGCCTCCCTCTTGACTCTCATCTCATCTTCTCTTGACTTTCATTGGCCGAAGGCGCGCAGAATACTTTGGACTCCATTGCAGCAACCATCTGGGTACTTTGGATCGAAAGCAATTCCAGGATCTTCCGAGGTCTTAAATGCGAAGTTTCAACTCTCTTCCACAAGATTACTTCTCTAGTAATCTTTTGGGCCTTGAATCACAAGGCTTTTGGCGGAGTCTCGACAGCTACTTTCCTTCGTGACTGGGAAAATATCCTCCACCTTGAACCCCATCAGGTCTCAAGAGCTAACAACTGGTTGCCTCCCCCAAATAGTATCATCAAGCTTAATTTCGACAAATGCTCCCTCGGCAACCCAGGCCCAGCAGGTGCTCGAGGGGACTTTCGAGACCACAACGGCAATATTTGGCTTCTTTCTCAGAGCACTAAGGCCATGTAGACTCTCAACTTGCAGAGTCTATGGCACTCTTATTGGGCCTAAAAAGGTTCGACCAATCATGGGGATCTCAGATGTTCGTCAAGGGGGACGCCAAAAACATAATCTCTTGGGCTTCTGAAAATGCCCCCCTCCCTGGTACCTCGCCTCTATTTTTGAAATTGCGCATATTTGCAGGGATGTAGTCTCCTGGATGCATACCTAGAGGACGTCAAACAGCTTGGAAGACCTACTGGCTAAGGATGGTGCTCAGGCCCAAGATGAAGCCCCCGCATAGCCGCAACGTTTTGATGAGCTGCTTCGACTATAGTTTTGTCGTTGGTCCATCTCTTTTTTTGCTCTGGACCTCTGCGGGCACATCTTTTTTCCTTGTGCTCTGTACATCTCTTGCAATTGGGCATCTCCTATAAGCCCCTTTATTTTTTGTACAGGGCCACTGTTAAGTGGCCTATTTTTTGGTTGAGAGACACGGCCTGTGGGTACTTTCGACATTTACTTATGTATACCTTTCTTTTATAGTAATACAATTGTTAACTTCTCAAAACACAAAAAAAGTATTTCATTTCACCTTGGGAAAACCCCCACTTAATACAAACTATTACAATAGTCTTCAACACTATGCCCTTATAATACGAGCATAGTTTCTTACAATCTAGATGAAACAAAATAAAATACAACAAAGACTAAAGTAAAAATGTGCATGAGCTTAAAGTATCCATGGGAAGCCAATTTCACAACAATCACCGTGCGAAAACCGCAACGGTATAAGTACCACCCTTGACTATCACTCTCTCGATAGCGAAAGAGTGTTCGGTTTCGATCTAATCTCGGAAAGCAAATCACTTACCACCACATGACAAAGCTCTCATCTCATATACATCCCAAAATCATCTCCAGATTGGGCATAAGACCAATTAAAACAAATAAGGAGAAAACGGGGCTCAAACGGGCTCGAAACACACTAGTTTCAGCCTTAGGGTTTGGCTCAAGGTCCTAACCACTATAGGATCAAAAGGGACCTTTTTCCTTGCATAGAGCTATGGGAAAGTTCATTGTTATGCTTGTATGTTAACATTTCCAGCAACATAGAAGTCCCAATAGTTTGCATAGGATGGCATGAAAACTATGCCAACAAGACAACAAGCAATGAGCCCTTACAACCCTAACGTTTAACTACTTCAAAAGGGATACTTGTGAATAAAATGCTCACTGTTTTGCACAAATTACAGCAGCCAAAACAATCATAAAATAGTGGAGAAAAACTGAATGGAAGTACGAGATGAGGTTATGAACAATATACCTCCATCTTGGGTGCAACATTTGTAAAAAGCAACTCCATCTATGTCCTTGGATATGGTATTACAAAGAAGTCAATATAATTTCCAGCAATACTTTTAAACATAACCGAAGCCAAAACCTTGCTCAACAACAACCATCAAACAATTGATGGTGTGTGGGACAAAGAGCTTCATCAAGGGAGAAAAGCATGGAGAGGGTGACACCATTTGTGATCTCGAGAGGGTGTATCAAAGTGGTTTATGGAAAATTTCCAGCAAGGTTTTCTAGGCATAACAGCACCCTAACAATGCTCAACGGCACCCATCAAACAATAGATGGTGCGTGATGAAGGTTGGAATCCAAGGGCTTCATCATGGGAGAAAAGCTTAACAGGAATCAAAGGTGTGCAACACTTTCAAGTGTGAAGAACATAAGCCTAAGAGTGGGGCGTGGAACCCCTTTAGAGATGAGATTAGAGTTTGAAATTATGAACTCACACAAACTTCAACTCAAGCGGGAAGTGATCCTATTATAGACTTTTCATGTGGGGTTCATTTCATACTCAACCTCCCATAGAGCGATCCAAGGGTTGAGGGAGGCTAAAAGTCTTAGCCTACCTAATCACCAATATTCAAAAGTGTGGATTCGGGCACCTAGGCGTTTTGGGTGCCTGGCCACCTAGGCGCCCGCCCAGAGACAAGGTGCCTTCACCAAAATTGAAACCCCCCCCCCCCCCTCCCCCACCCCACCCCACCCCACGCCACGCCACGCCACCCCACCCCAGCCCCTACCCCTGCCCCTGCCCCTGCCCCTGCCCCAACCAAAAAAACAGGAGAGTTCTTAGGGCATGGTTTTAAGTCTTTGGGAGTTTTTAGGGCAATTTTAGAGCCCCAAACTCCTCGTGAAATAAACGAAAATGAAATAGTACAATCACATAACAAATTTAAGGATACAAGTCTCAAAGATAATGTAACTTGTAAGACATTAAAATACCTGAAATCCCAAATATCATTGTAGGAAACTAGAAGTCTAGACTAGAAACGATACACAAAGTCAACAAGGAAAAATCAAAAAACAAGTACATCAAGTCATCATCCAAACATGTAAATATATCGTAAAAGAAAAAAAAAGGTAAAAAGAAAAACACATGATTCACAACATTATATGTTGTAGCAAAATAAAATCAAAACCCTCTTTCAAATATGATAATACTTTAAAAATATCATAATCAAATCGATGTCGGTGCAAACTTCATCTATTGGGTCACCAAAAATCCTCAAAATCAACTACTAGAAGCTCTAAATCCACCTATGAACTATTGTCTTTGTTTTGGGAAGAAATCACAAAAATCAAAACTTTATCGATCTTTCGATAATCACAAAAGAGTAGTTTTTTTAGGAGTTTTTCTCACCCTAAAAGCCACGGTTTTTGTTTTAGCGGTATAGAATACTCCCCAAAACTCTTTTCCCCCCATTTTAGTGGGAAAAAATGAAACCTTTTTTACCCCCGCCAAGCGTTTTTTTCGCCCTTCTGCAAACTGTCACTAAGCGGCGCCTAGGTGGGCGCCCAAGCTGTAACACCTATGCGGGCGCCAACGCTGTAGCGCCTAGGTGGCGCCATGCCCACTTAGGCAGGCGCCCGAAGACAGGCCGCAATATCCACCGCACAGATAGCGTCTGGGCTTTTTTTGAAATATTTCGCCTAGATGAGCTCTCGGAGACAGGTCACATAAGTCCACCGCCCAAACAACGCCTAGGTGTTTTTGAAATTTTTCGCCTAGGCAGTCGGGCGGCCGAATTTTCGAACACTGTTAATCACCATTGATGGCTATCACATGGATAGTGATTAATGATCACACCCTTATCACCATACCCACA